GAGGGGTCAAGAGAGGTACGCAGATAAAATAAAATGTAGGGGAGGGGACAGGAATAATAGTCCCCCAAGGGGCAGCTGAGGAAGGAAACTCCTCCCTTAGAGGAGAACAGGCAGCGCTGCTGCAGGAGGTGGCTGGTGGCACCGTACTCTTACATCCGGTGCAGTCGGTCACCGAAAGGGAGGCCGCCCAAACTCCACACTCGCTCCGCCAGGGAGCAGGGCTGCTTGCCTAGGTGGTATCTGTCGAAAGCTGACCCCAAGGGTCCTACCTGCGGAGTCCGGATGTCTGTTCTGCCTGAACTTGGCCATGGTCAGGCCCCAGCTGCCAAGCAAACACATCGAGAACACGCACCACTTACCCCAGCGTGACGCCAGGGCCCCCTCTGCACACGGCCGGCTTTAATACCGAGCACGAATACATCAGGGCTGAGAAGTGGGCCGCGGGGATTCGGGGTGGTGTTCATCGTTTAAATAAAAATATTACAATTGTCTAAAAGAGAGTGTGGGCCTAAAAAGAACATTTGTGGACGTTTCTCTTGAACCTAACACACCAAAAGCTCTGGTAGTTGCCTTCCCAATTTCTTTGCAGGGAAAAAAAAGGGGGGGGGATCAATTATATATACTAGGTATCATTAAAAAGGCTTTCTATTGTTGCTCAAGAGAATGTTAGTACCAGGACACAATCCCCACTTTCTTTACGGCCTGCAGAGGAACTGCTCAGAGGTGCTTGCGTTGTGTGTTTTAGATGTACTAATTGATGACTAAATCCTTTGACAAATGAATGCTGCTCTTTTTTACTGCTACACCTTTACCAAGAGCAAAAGGAACATAATTGGAAACTGATTCACCAGCCCAAATATGACATTGTACAAAGCCACGAAAAACCTGTAGCTGAAAAAGTCTACTGGGAGGAAGGTGAAAGCACGTGTGTGTTATCCTCCAGCCCTGCCACATGTCACTGTGAAGGGACTGTGGCTGCACGGCGGGTCACAGCCTTCTCCAAAGGACACCTTAGTATGGTGGGGCCCTCTATATATACCCCCTTTCTGTTCGCTTTGCAGGCTGAGCCCTCAGTGGAGGCTGAAGCAGCCTGGTCTCCGACATCCTCTGCTCCTGCCACCTTGACACCTCCCCTGCCCAGAGCTGGGATGCGCTGGCTGTCCTGGGCTCAGGACACTTAGTGACAGAATGAAACCCTGCCAGGCTCTTCTGCATCTTGCCAGTCTTAACCAAAATAAGTAATAAAATCCATTTCTAAGAAAAGCTCTGCATAACAGAGCCATACAACTCAGGGAGGGGTGGGGACGCGTCTACGTCGTTTTCTGCAGCACCCACAAAGTGGCCCTCTGCTCCAATCGCACTGGGTTCCCTGCATCCCCCAAGTACAATACGTGCCACCAAGCTGGCCTGAGGATGGAGCCTGCGTCACACCTTGCTCTCTCTCCATCCCTGGACTGGCTGCTGCGTGGACGCACACTGCGGTGCCCCTGCCTGTGAGGCCTCACTCGGGTTTAGTTTTCGTGTCCGTGTATCTGCCTTTCCCTGCGTAGGCTGCATCTGCCCTGGCCTAGGAACTGCCTGAAGGCAGAACCAGTGCTCTGCCTTGGGACCCCTCACAGCTCTGGGCCCCCTGGGAGCGCGCCTAGGGACAGGATTTCCCTTTGTTTCCCAGCACTTCCCACCCAAGGAGTGGCAAGCCACTTTTACAGCCTTTAGTTTTTATTTGGAGACGTGGTCTCTCTGGGTCGCCTCGGCTGGGCTCGACCTTGCCACACCCCCGCCTCAGCCTGCCAACCAGCGGGGCCTCCAGGCGTGTGCCGCACGCATGACTCATTGTGTATGGGCAGGCTCTGGACGGCACACTTCCGGTGGCCACAGTGATCAAGCCTGGACTCGGGTGTCCTATGATGCTCTGTGCATGCGGAGCAACACTTCCAACGCTCGGGGGAGTCCGGCTGTGACAGGTCCAGAGCCAGCGCCCAGCACGCAGGACGCAGCCGGTGCCTTCCTGCATGCTTTATCTGAACATGCATGGTGACCCCGGGGACAGCCACCACTACGTCCTTATGCACACAAGGCAGCGGCCGCGGTCCAGAGCGGCTGGGCAGGTGCTCAGCTTGGCCACAGGCAGGGTGGACTCCAGCCCAGGCCACGTGGTGGAAGTCATCACACCACACGCTATCATGTCCTGGTAGCAGAGGGCAGAGGCGAGCGGGAAGCAGAGGGAGGCCACGGTGACCCTGACCCTCACAGCCCCGGCACGAGGCTCCCCCAGGCAAAGGTGTGGGAAACAGGTCCGTATTTCGGCAGTCAAACAGGCTCTCTAGTTTCTTATGGTTTCGGGTTGTTGATTTTAAAATAAAACTTAAAATATTCATAAAATGACTCCTTCAGGAAGTGGCAGGCTTTGTTTTTCTTTCCTTCTCTCATGCGGTATCTATTTGATGCATCTAATAGATATTTCCTTGTGCCTAATTGTACTACCACAAACGTCATATTTTATAATTCATCGTGACAGAACCAACTTCACCTGATTAGCACATGATAAATAACGGCCGTGCAGAGGTCCCTGGACTTCCCTGGAACTAGGAATTGAAAACGTTGGTTACAGCTGAGCGAAACTAGACGCAGAGCAAGCGCTGTGTACTTCACAAAGAAACACACATTATATTAAATCAGGCCCAGATGGGGCGCTGTCCCAAGCTGTTGATAAAATCGTTAGTTAGTGGTTCAGTGAGTTCTGTCCCATAAAGTCAACAAAGCGGAGGAAGGGAGCCAGAGCTCACTGAAGATCAGTTTCGGCACTGCGCCGTGCACACGGCCAGGGTCTGGAGAGGACACCAGAGAAATGGAACGGTGTCTGGCCTTCGTTTTCTTATAAACCAATATTGGGGCCAAAAAATGCTCCCTTTCTACCTCTGTCAATACACCGGTAGTCACTTCAGGTCTTATTGGATAATAAGTTATTAATTAATCTTTCATGTTGGTGGAACATTTCTGACAGCTGCCCCTGGCCTAGACTCAATGCCCAGGTACTGCAGTTTGCCACACTGACCTCTAGGGGGCAGTACCGAGGGACTGGTGAACAGGGTCGGGGACGGTGCCTGTGATGCCCGGCAGATGCCCTGCGTGAGAAAGGCCTGCCGTCCTACCTGGACAGGGTGGACTTGGCAAGGAACAGCCAGACCAATGCTGCAAATCTGGGGTGACAGCTGTCGGGAGCGGATCACACCATGCTCCCCCAGTCCTTAGTTCTGCAGGAGGGAAGACTGAGGGGCAAAGGCGTGACACATTTATTCTTGGCAATCCAGAGTCAGAGGCACTGAGGTTATTCCAGGGATGCGTAATTAAAAAATCTCCTTTAAACAGCCAGCTCCCCCTCCTCATGGGCAGTTAATTTTTACTTTTATTTCTTATTTATTTTTTTGGCTGGCTCAGGCTACCTTAAAGGCGGGTCTGGTGCAGCTTGTGCAGCTGGGGATCGAACCGTGGTCCCCTGCACCTGACTGAGTGTGCCCAAGCGGGTGCTTTAAACAACTGAGCTAACCCATAAGACCTCCACGGGCAGGTACTTTTTTAAAGGATGGATTAAGTGTGTGTGTGGTGGCATGCAGACTTCTCGGGCTTCTCGGAGCTGGGTGGGTGTGGAGCTCCATGCACTGTCACAGTGGCTAACGGGGAAGCGCAGAAATAAAAAAAATTGAGATTAGGATGATGGAGAGTAAGTGAAGAATTAAAGACAGCATCGGGCTAATTTCCCCAAAGGCTCAGTAATTATTTGTGTCTGCAGGTGACTTTACATTTTATGACACTGTACTTTCTAATTTCACTAAAGGGAAGCAACCCAAATTTGCGGATTTTTTTTTTTTTTTTTTTTTTTTGGTTCCTCAATTGCAAAAAGCCCGAGGGCTGGTTCAGGCCTGCTTGTAGTAACTAGCTGTCTCAGAGGCTTCCTGCATGCTTAAATAGCTTCTCTCCTATTTATTTTGTGCTGTTTTATCCTGTAAGCTGTCTCAAGGTCCTTCCAATATGAGCAGTAGGATTTAAACCTTAATAAATTGAAATTTAGATGACAAAGGCAATCTGAGTTGTGGGGGCAGGGGGTGGCCCTGAAGTCTCAGGCAGACATCTTTATTTTCCCGTGGTATTGCTTATTCTGTTTTTGGAAGAGCCTTAAAAAGTAGGAAGGCATCACACTCACTTCCCAGCTCCAAGAAGAACACCCTTGAGGAAGTCCGGTCTCCTTAGGAAAGCGCCGGACTGCGAAGACTGAGTTCCAGACGACGCTAAGTCAAAGCTTCTCTACTCATCTTTTTAACAAAGCACTAATGTAGCTGTCATGTACTGGAAAGTGCTTCGACGAGGGGCAAGCGGGTGTGGCGGCTCTGGAGTGAGCTTTCCTGGGAAGCCCTCCCGAGAAGCCCTCCTTGCCCAGCGGGGCTCCTCGCATGCAGCTAACGCACTCAGCCAGGCTCTCGGTGGGCCGCCTGGAGCTACCTTTCTCGGACTTTGCAGCAGGAGCACTAGAGGCGTCTAGATTCTAAAAAGATATCCTGATCGCTTATCACTTCAATCAGGGCTGGGAGGCTGGTGGCCAACGTAAAGCAGAACGCAAATACCTTTCCTTAGTTTCCAGACCCGCTAGGGGAGGGCGTCTGGGCCCGAGGGCCGCCTGGGCAATGGGGTTTTCAGCCCCCCTCCGGTTCTTGTATTCAATACATCTGATAACACAGTCACTTTTATATTTCCTGCGACATCATCTAAATTCATGAAAAAGCACACACTTCGGGATCGTCCTGTAGTTAAATAATCGGACGGGTACGAGGTTCACTGTGATGGAGCAGCCGACGTTTGTTCCATCCTGTCATTTCTCATCAGTCGAAATTCCAAGGAGTTGAAATTTAAAACACATTAGTTAAAAAAAAAAAAAAAATTAAAACACAGAAGCCAGCGCTGCACCGTTACGTTAACAGAAGCAGCAACGACTGAAAACGGCTTACCTTGCAGCCCTCACACGTAATGACGCCGTAATGGATTCCTGACGACTTGTCTCCACAGATCTTGCATGGAATAATTTCAATTTGAGCTGCAACAGAAGCACACAACCAGTTAATTACATTTTCTTTTAAACACCTTATAAAAGCGCTCCCCGATCAGCATTTGTACAGTGAAAACTAATAACCTGCTAAACATTATACCGCATTAACTATTCATTGCTGAACTGCGAGGGCCCCCCTAGAGCCCTGGACTAAATTATGGCAGCTCGTTATATAATAGCTTTTGGGTTATTAAAATGGGTCATTTGAGGAAGTGTTTGAGAACCCTCAAGAAGGCCGGAATCAGCATTTCAAAGCCTTGAAGAACTGGAGAGTTCGCAGTTTAGGGCTCAGAGCAAGGCAGACACTCGAGTGTTTCCTCCGATTTCATTCTCCATCATTATTTTTAAAAGGTCATAAATCTATCCCGGCTGAGCCTTGTAGCTGGCACAGAAAAATGTACTCCAGAGAGTCAGGTCTCCTTAGGAAGATGGTCCGCTTCACAATATTCATGAGCTACGGCGGACAGTCGATAAGATTTCTTCACTCATCTTCTTTAAAACATGAACGCAGTTGTCGCAGACTGAAGCGCGCTTCACTTGGATACAATCAAAATCTTTCAGCCACAAGTTAATGTCTTATCTGCATTTGAGAGTAATGAACTGGGACACACGGCATGGTGCCGCTCAGGGTCTGTGTCCGAAACTGACCTCTTGGTGCCGGGTGTGTGTGTTCAGAAGATTAAAGATCCCTCAGGCTGGAAGACTACCCAACACCTGAACATATATTCCACCAATAGCCTCAAGGACGGCGAAAAACACTCCTAAGCAAACACATTCTGTCTTGAACAGTGTGGGAAGGAGGAGGAGGATCAGGCAAAAGAAACTCCGTGGAGCACTTAGAAGATTTACATGTGAGTGCAGGACAGCGGCCCCGAGGTGTTCGGGCAGCCCGCCTCGGCCACCGTTTACCTGGCAGGCCCCTTGGCTTCCCACGGGTCTCTCACTGTCGCCACCTGCGAGCTGCGGCTGAGGCATGCACGCCAGCTCAGCGGCACGTGCCCGAGCTCCAGCTTCTGCCAGGCTCCCGCCTCCCGAGAAGCGAAGCCGCACCACGCCACGTGACCTCACCCCCCCCCCCAGGTGCTCTCACATTCGAGGGAATTTCTGAAGACGTGTGCTTTGGACTTGATGTGCTGCTGTCGTCCGTACTTAGAACACACGAGAAACCGCTGGATGTCACCACGAAACCTCATCAGAAGCCATGGGTTCTGCTGACTCCTCCCACGGGGACCCGTGCGCGTGTCACTATCCCACGGCTCCTTTCCATCAATCATTTTTAGTGGGGTCTACCGGGTTTCTTTGCCTGTTCTGACTTTCAGAATGTGCAGAAGGTCACATCCCGTGTATTCTGTATAATCTGGAGCTCTCTGATATGGGCCCCGATAACGGTGCAAGTAGGTATGCCCTGGGCTAGTTATATTTAGGGTTGCACTGAGCAAACACTGTCACTTGCAAGTCTGCCTCCCCAGGGGCATGCCTCACTTCGTTTATGGCACATGAAATCATGCGTCACGTTTAATGGCATTCTAATGTTTTTTGTACTAGGAATCGAACTCAGGACCTTGAGCTTGCCAGGCAGGCACTGTGCCGAAGAACAGCACCCTGGCCCCCTTCTTGTATTTTTAACACCGTCAGGTTTGTGCCACAGGGTCTGTGGTGCTGGGGACAGAGTCGGGGCCAACATTTTCCAGGCTCACAAGTCAGGTACTACGAAGAAATTCTGAGCGCTGGCGAATCATACAACACGAGGTACTCCGACTGCCTACTCAACCGAACTGACGACGTGGAGCTGCCCCTGCCCGCGCTGCACCTCGAGCTGCACACGCGGAAGCTGGAGACCAGAACGCTCCCGGCCCGCGCTCGGGTGGGCACCCGAAGCACCCGAGGCAGCGGGGGCACCATGGTCTCCACGTGGGGCTTCCATGAATCAGCTGAGATCGGTCCTCACCACGTGGACTTGGCCAAGCGTGTCTGCTCCGTCCTTTAGGAAAATAGGCAGGCCCCGGGCGGGCCACGTGGGCAACAGCGAGTCAAAGCGTTATCTGGTCACACTGAGAAGGACACACGGCTGGCCACCCTCCTGGCTCGGGGGATTGGGCATCGCGTGTGAATGATGCACGAGGAAAGGCCAGCTAATGGTTCTGGCGTGCGCTAAGCGGCGGGCGGTCAGCTTCCTTGGGACGGCGCCTGGCTGGTGAGAGGCAGCCCCGACCCACCGTTTGGTGCCACGGGCACAGGGCTGCTGGGGCGAGGCGGGCTCCTGCCCTGCCCCTGGCAGTCGGCCTGGCTGTGGTTGGCCAGGATTTCGGGTCTCAAGGGCACCCCAGCTCAGGGCGCCCAAAGTGGACGGAAACTCGAGCTCTGAGTCTCTGTTCCACGGTTTATGCTCAGCTCGAGTGGGTAACGCTGACTTGAGAACCAGGCCACGCCTCACTGGGGTGTCACGGGACAGGACAAGACAGGACATGAGGGAGGGTCGCTGCTCTCCGCCCCCCCCCCCCCCCCCCCCGCGGCTCACTCGGTCCCGTGAGACTGCTCTTTAGGCAAGCCAGCAACTCGCCGTCTGAAGCCAGCCCTCGGGCCCACTCACTGCTGTGCTGGGAAAGCGAACATCTGCAGGTGGGGCGGGGTACTGGCAGCCCCCCAGTGAATCCACAGCCCAGGAAGCCTTCCCCGCTCGAACTTGCACTCAATTTACGGGATCAAAGAGAGAAAATAACGTAAGCCACGTCTTGCATATACTTTGAAAGGAGGGCAGTTTAACCCCACCAATTGGGGTTTTTAGGCCCGAGGAAAAGAGCCCGGATTGGCCTGTTTTTGGAGACAGGGGCTCACTATGCAGTTCAGGCGGGCCTTGTGCTCACTTTGTAGCCCAGGCTGGCCTCGAAGTCATACCGATCCTTCTGCCTCAGCCTTCCAAGTGCTGGCATTACGGTATGAACCACCACAGTGGCCAGCACTGTGCACCTGGGGTTCTGGGGCCAGCAAGGCATGCGGGTTCCAGGGTTTGAACCCAGGACCTTGTGCTTGCCAGGCAGGTGCTTCGACCGCTGAGCTATCTCTCCAGCCCTGGGCACTACTATTCTTAAACACCTCATGTATTCCTCAGGAGCATCCTGGGAGCTGCACGAGGCCAGACAGCAGTGACCATTCTCATTGTGCCAATCATTAAAAAAGATAAAGCTGTTTAGAGAGGCGTAGATCACTTCACCCCGGGGGCACGAGTGTTTGCTTTATGATACAGTGGCTGGGCGGATAATCTCTCATGGTACACGCATCCTGAGTCAGGGATTATCTCCAGGAATCACGTGCAGTAGCGATTATTGTTACTTTCCTCCTCCTCCTTACTTATTTGGTGCATTTGTTTTATATATGTAAAAACTGAAGTCCAGAGGAGCTTAATAAATTGCCATATTTGAAGAGCTAAGAAGTGGTAAGGCTGAGGTTTGGGTGCAGTTTGTCTTTTTCTTTAAAAGTTAAGGCTCTGTTTGAGACAGGCTCACACTGCGCAGCTGCTTCCAACTCGCAGCGACCCTCCTGCCTCAGCCTCCTGAGTGCTTGGGTCACAGGCATGCGCCACCGCGCCCAGCAGGTCGCCTGCTCCTTAATCGCTCCCCGTACTGCACTGCCAGGCTAAGTTGTTCCCATAAAAAATGTCATATTGCCCTTATTACACTTAGTACTTACTGAGCAGGAAGAAACCCCACCGCACTCACTTGATTAAACTTACCACTTGGGAACGGGCAGCAGGACCTTTTCCTGAGTTTCTGCTGCCTAGTTTAAAACTTTCATAATCAAAAATACTTTGGCTCTTTTTTTTTCATTTTGCAAAATTCTGGGTGGACTCTCTGACCTGAGGGGAGCTGACGCCAGCCCAGGTTTAACTATCCTTTCGGCTGGCCAAATCAGTTGCCCTCTCTCTCGAGCCTGATCCATCTTGGAAGATTCCAGGGTGCGAGCCCTCTGGAGCAGCCCCGGGGGCCCTCACACACGTGCGCTCGTGCACCCGCAGAGCACCCGGGCCCAGCAATGGGCCGTTATTACTGCTGCGATGACAAGGGGCTCTGCTGAGGGCCAAATGCGATGCCTTTCTACGGATTTAAAGCTTTTCCCAAAACATGGATAGAGAAAAGCTGCTTAGCCTCCAAATACCGTGGCAGGCACGTCCCTCCCGCCAGCGCACAATCCTTTAGGGTGCTGCCACTTAACCGACTGCCACAGCGGCTGCCAGCCACCCCCAGAGGAGCGGCAGCACGGGACTCGGGCACCAGTAGTGGTAAAGCAGCATCTCACGCGACGTGGGGTCATGCCAGGGGCTCCCCAGCTCATCTGCTGCCCAGCAACGTTGTGGACGTGGCCTGAGCGCTGGTAGTTCACTGCAGGCCGGGGCTGTGGACGGCCCTGGGGACCACTCTGCGCCATAAGCACTGCGTACCCTGCAAAAGCAGAAGAGAGCTATGTCTTGCATTTTAAGAAAATCTTTTACCGCTGCTGGCGCTGTTCTGCTGGAGGGCTGAGGCGGCGGAGGCCTCTGCACCCGCGCTGCTGCAAATGTCTGTAATGTTTGAAAAGAAATGTTTTTTATAACCAGCATGTATTACTCTTGCAAGCAGGAAAACCAATAAAGATTAAAAAGAAAAACCCCAAGGCGTTTGATTTTATTTTCAGTAAAATGGCTTGAGTCCTTTATGGATTAGTCACTTTATTTTATCCCCCGTCTACAACCGCTGGGGCATTAAAGGTTTCTGTGCCGGCCATCGCGGCCACCACATTCCTGCAGCAGCTCTGGGAGGGCCCGGTGTGCGCAGTTTGGTGGCCCCCCAAGGCGGCCACCAAGGGCGCCCAGCTCGGAGGGCAAAGGCAGGGGCTGGCAGCAGGAGGGCCGGCGGGGCCTTCTCCGACGCCCCTGCCCAGACAAGCTCCTTCTGTGTCCCAGCTGCCCCTCCGCAGGCAGCGACCTCGGCTCCAGGCTGCAAAGCGCCATGTGC